CTGCTGGTACTGGAGGGCTGACTGAGTGGCAGACGCTGCTCTAAGCACTTGATATAAATGAGCCACTGATAGATCGTCTAACACACATCAGCACGTGCGGTCGTTATTCTCCCCATTTTACGAGGACAATGAGGCCCAGAGGGGCTTATCCTGGATCCACCCACGTGGACAGCTGGGTTTCCAGGCCGTGCATGCGATGATGCTTATTGCTGCTCAGTAAGCGTGAGGGTGAAGGATGAAACGAGGGACAGAGGCAGCAAGGGGTTTTGACCACACTGACCTTTTCCTCCAGGTGGGATTTTATTTCCTTGTGACTCAGAGCATAAGTACACAGTATGCAAACCATTCATGGAATTTTGGGAGAGCTTATTTATTTTTGGTTTACAAGATGACCAACTCCAGTCTCTCTCTTCCCCTTTTCCCCTCACTGGTAACAAACTTCTGGGCTTTCAACTAAGAATTCAGTTAGGATTTACATCATGGAGGTTGGGGACGGTCCGCACCTGGACCGTAGCTTTCTAAGCAAGCACTCAGTACTGAGGGTGCCTGGGAGTCTTTGGAGCTCCCAATTATTTGGGTGAAAATAGTTTCAAATGGCTATGAATCCTTGATGGAGCCCACGGTCTGGTGGTGGTGGGGTAGAGGCAGAGATACCAAAATAGCAGAGAGATCATTTTTGAACTGTGTTAGTGCATGTTTAAAGCTTATTTTATAGCTGGGCTCCCTGAGTCGGCCAAAGGCCATCGCTGCCTGGGGGGCATTATGATGGATCCTTTCTCTTTGCAATTGCAGTAGAACAATGTTCAACTTTGACTCACAAAGTAAGATCTTGAAACTATAGTGAGACAATAATCTCCGAAGTCAGGCCTATGGAGAGAAAAGAGGGCTTTTTGAATTCTCCAAACTCCCTTCTATACAGCAAGAGCCAAGCCAGACCAGCTCAGAACACAGTTTTGTCCTAGGTGACAGGGGAGAGCATGAAAGGGAAGTTCCCTGCTGCTGGAGGAAGCTCCCTCTCCTGGAGGGAGAGAAAGAGGCTCCCAGAGGGCAAAACGAAGGTGAGCAGCTGTCTGAGTTCCCCAAGGGCCCACAGCCCTGCGTGGTTGGGCTGAGAACAATGAGAATGGCAAGGAGGTAGACATCCCATCTGCGGGGGTCCACTGTTGGGTAGAGATCGGCATGGTGAACAAGTAGAAAGAAGGTGATATTCCACTCCCATCTCTTTAGGGCCCCCAGGGCCTGTGTGTGGAAGGGTCCAGAAGCTCCTCAGCTGATGGTAGCTGAGAGACTTGGCTGACAAGTTCCCAGCAGGATGGGCAGTTGGGGAGGCAAGGTGACAAACTTCGTCTCTCTCCCTGCTCTTCCAAAGCTGGAGAGCAGGGCTGGGATCTTAGTCTTTGTGCATCTGTGGTGCCTAGAACCGTGCTTCTGCCACACACGGTTTTCCTGTGGCATAGGAGCCCCACCCGCCAGGAAACACAAGTGCCACGCTGAGTCGTCTGGTTTCTCTCCTCTCCAACACCCCAAAACACTCACACTCAGACCATATTGACTTTAAGGCAGCCTCTATAGCAAAAAATCTCTGAGTTCCCATTATGATCCAGACTTTGGGCGAGGCCTTTCGGGGCAGGGGCAAGGAAAGTTTAGGTTTATTTAGAGCCTTGGCATTTATGTCTCCTCTGAGCCTCCAGAACCCCAGCACTTCTTCTAGACTTCTCTCATGGACTTGAGTTTGGAAGTTACATCTCTGTGCATCCTTAGACCCCTTACTGAATGGTCAGTACCTTGTGCACTGATAATGTGATGATAAGAAAGATAACTTCCTTGAGTGCTTAATATGTGCCTGGAACTTTCCAGCACTTTATAGACATTTGCTCATTTAATCTTTGGGTAACTCTATAGGTTCTATTATTATCATCCCCATTTTACAGGTGAGAAAACTAAGGCACAGAGCAGGTTGTGTTTTTTTTTTTTTTTTGCTGAGGAAGATTGGCCCTGAGCTAACATCCATGCCCATCTTCCTCTACCTTATATGTGGGACGCCTGCCACAGCATGGCTTGATGAGCAGTACCATGTCCGCATCAAGCATCCGAACTGACGAACCCAGGGCTGCCAAAGCCGAATGTGTGCACTTAACCGCTGTGCCACTGGGCAGGCCCTGGCACAGAGCAGTTTAGTAACTTGCCGAGGGCATAGAGTCCTCGCTGGCGGAGCCCAGACCCATTCCAGGCTGAGACCCCAGGGCCTTCACTCCCATGCTGTCTGATCTCCTTGTGTGTCTTTCTGGGGATGGCAGATAACAGGTGCTCAGTAAAGACTGGCTTTTTAAAGAGCCATTACCCCATCAACCCTTATAGAGATGTGTTTAACAGGAAAGTCCTGATCCATGGATCTGCTCTCTCTGAATGTCAGCTATCACTTTGGACTTGTCTACTTTTTTTCTGGCTTTCTTGATAGTTTTCCCACCCCATCATCTTGCCCAGCTTGTAGCAGAAGCTCTGGAAAGATGGAGGCTCTGAACTCACAATGGCCTCAATGGGGACTCACTCCCAGCTTGGCCTGTGACAGGTCCCCTGCGCAGCCAAACTGTGCCGTCACCAGTAGGAAAACTTCCTGGTAGTCCTCACATTGAATGCACATGATGCACACATGAGAGATCAACATCAACCCTGCTCTGGAGCCAAGGGAATAGACTCAACGACCCCTGAGACCCTTCCAATCTTCAGAGTTCAGACTGACGGGAGTCACCTTTGTGGTTTTAAAATATTTGCCTTTCTGAGTTTTAACTAGTCTCAGGAAATAACACTCTGACATATGAACAGTCCTACTTTAAGCTCTGTCCTCATTCTACACACTTCTGCAAGGCCCGGTTCAAATGATATCTCCTCCTCCAGGAAGCCCCCTTTGGTTATCCAAGTGGAACTGCACTTCTCTTGTTTGAACAGCAGCCCTTAGCTTCTCTGTGCTGTTCCCTCCCTAGGGCCTCTGTTTAGCTTTCCCTAGTCTTGCCTTGTTCTCAGCTCCAGGCAGGGCCGGGTTTGCACATGTGCTTGAGCCCCACCCCCAGCTCCTTGCAAACAGATGTTGTTCCAACATTGATTGATATGTTTAATGAATCCCATATTTCAAGAACCCAAACTGACCAGACATAACTCAGGGATGGTTTTCTCCATATAAAGGGAGCTGTGAGTCACAAATCCTGTCCCTGTCCTTCACCCCACTCCCCTACTTCCCCCCACCTCTGCTTAAGTGACAACAATATTAACAATCATTGCTCCAGTCCTACTGTGCACCCAGCTCTGTGTTAAGGACTTTTCTTACGGTGCCTCACTTAATCATCCAGACAGCTTTATGAACTCAGAACTTCTCCCTCCATTCCACAGAGGAGGAGACGCCTTGGAGAGATCGCATAACCTGCCCAAGGTTGTGCAGCTAGTGGGCAGCAGAGCCAGAACTGGAAGCCGGGTCTGATTTCAAAGACGTTGCTCTTAGCTTCCTGAGGTCCAGACTCTCTCTAGCCCCTCAGGCAGCCACTCCATCTCCGGGTCTGACGGGATGGTTCCACCCCTCTGGAGTCACACAGGGGTGCATTCCCTTTTCCTTTGGCTGGATCTCCTGTGATTTAAAGGTAGTTCCTGTAGTTGTTTCCCCTCCTGTCTAAATGACCTAGAATGGCCTTTGGCTCTTCCTGTAGCTGGGTTCTAGATGTATGCCCGCCTGGTGCAGCTCTTCCCCTGCCGTCCCCAAACCCCCTCACCCCGACAGTTTCATACCTCAACGTTGGTTGTAAACTGTGACTCTAGGATCTGAACTGAAGCCCACCAGCCAGAGGCCCTTTCAACTGCAGACCCTCTCAGAAGCTCCTTTATAGACTGACACGCGGTGCACTTGTTGCCGTGGTACTTTGGACCCGGGTGAGGAGCGCAGGCTACGGGGTCTCCACTAAGGGTGCTTCTCCCACTGCCACCACATCTCACCCCTGCTCCCCGCCCCAGCCCCAGCCTGGAGCCCACGCAGAAGGCCCGGCGGTTAATCCCTTAGGTGGCCCCCGCTGGTCCCCACCGGAGCACTCAGCTGCTCCGAGGAGGGTCCCCGAAAGCTCTCGGGCCTTTAGAACAGCGCTGCTGGCCGCCGCCCCTATGTGGAGGGTCGGGCCGGGGCGCCGGGTGTGGGGAAGCCCGGTCCAGGTGCCCCAGTGCGGAGAGTCCAGGGCTGCCCTCTCATTCCCGGGCGCGTGCCTGGCCAGCCCGAGGTCCCCGCCGCGCCCCGGCACCTGGAGTGCATTAGGCGGCGGCGCGCGCGTCTCGGCGACAGTGGCTTCCCCCGGATTACGGAATCATTGCATAATTGAGCGCGGGCTGGGGGGCGATGCCCCGTCCCTACCCCGAGCGTCAGGTAACGTTTTCGGGGGCCCTGGGCTGCAGAGCTGCACCCCGCTGCCTTTGGCCGGTCCGGGGACTGCTCGCCACCGCCAAGGAGCCGACTGCCCTGGGGGTTCCCTCTGTCCCCCGCCGGAGGGACTCCGGGCGGCTTTCGACTCCGGGGTCTGCCCCAGCCTTCTAGGGCCGCTGCGCCTGGCTCTCCACGCTTCAGGATGCTCTCTCCGCGCCAGGCGGGAGGGCAGCCGAGCGGGGCTCGCTCTGCGCGTCTCTCCCCGTCCCGGCGGTGCGGCAACCCCGGCGTGGCCCTTGGAGGTGGCCAGGCTGTCCAGTGGGGCCACCCGCCCTCGGCGCTTTTCAACTCGAACCTCTTCAACTTTTCCCAAACACACCGAAGTCCCAGCTCCAAGGCGCCTCCGCGCGTCTCCCTCTTTTCCTGAACTTGGCAGAGCCGCTGGACTGCAGCCAGTTCCCGGGAACCCACGTCCCCGAGAGCAGCCAAGGTCCGACTCTGGGCCGCACAACGCGTCCCTCTCCTGGCAGCTGGGTCCGAGGTCCCGGCGGGCCAAGGCGGGGGGCGGGGGCTCCCAAGGGCAAGGGGAAGCAAGAGGGCCACGTACCTGGCCACAGGCTGAGCGTCCAGGCCACCAGGAGGCCCCTGGGCAGGTCCATGGCGCGCGGCGCGGCGGCGGGTGCCCGGTGCGGAGCGGCGTCGGGGGCGGCGAGCCAGAGCGGCAGCCTCCTCGGCGCGGCGCCTCGAGCCTGCAGTGCGCGCGGGCGCCCGGCTCCCTGACAGCGCGCTCCTTCGGAGGAAGTGGGAGGGCCGCGCGGCGGGGAGGGGCGCCGGACGCCACCCGCTCTGGCTCCGGTCCCGTCTCGGCCCCTCTGCCACCTGGGCAGGCGGCAGGCTGCGGCCTCGACGCCGTCTCCAAATCTCTCCTTCTGCCTCCACCTCACCTCTGCCTTAGGAGAAAACCCCAGAACCGCTCCTGGGAACCCCGTCCCCCGCTCAACACCTCCCTTTACCCCATCACCACCAAGTTCAGTCTGTTCAGGAAAAGTGGTTTATATGCCATTTCCCAGAAGAAAGAGCCTCGCAAAGCTGAAGGGGTGACCCGGGGACAGCGGCTGTGACTCAGGTCTCCCTTGGCCGAGTGGAGTGGATGTCCCTCCAACGTCCATTCTGAGACATGCCCCTGTCCCCCCCCCCCCCCCCCCACCCCGTACACACACCCTGGAGCTTGGACTGTAAAGGCCACAACGCTTCTTCTGACCCTGGAATAAACGCAGACCCCTCTTCTGCCTCTACTCTCCCACCCACACGCCCGAAACAGCCCAAAGCATCCTGGAGGACCCCAGGCCCACTTTTAGCGTAACAGCGAAGCTCTTCTTTGGGACCCAGCCGCTTTCCTTCCCAGCTCTTCTAACCACAGACAACTAAACTCAACGCACATTTGTTGCACAAGCGTTAAATCAGGCCCTGGACCACAACCTGTGGGTATGGAGGCCAGCCTTTCCCCACGGAAGAGAGCTGAGGCAGAGGGCGGGATGGCCCGTGTGGTGAAAGCTACAGCAGAGGCCCTGCCACTTGCTCAGGAAAGCCTCCCTTCACTGCTGTCCTCACCAGGTCAGGTCCTCAGATACAGGCGAGCTCTCATTTTTCTTCACTGTACTTAGGAGAGAAACTAGACATCAACTGGTGTAATCATTTGACTGATTTTTTTCTCCTTGTCCAGACTGAAAACACGGTAGAGTTTTCTCTCTGGGAGGGATTGGGAGGACTTCCCAGAGGAGGTGACATTCAGTCTGGGTCCTGGGGGTTTGAGAAGGCCCAGGTTCACGTAAGTATGTGTAATAGCAGGCATTGTGCCTGCATCCCCAACATTGCTGTCTTCTTGGTAGCCACCCTAGTTTTTATTTCAGTATCCTCACCTCTCCCACTCAGCCACAGACTCTGGGGGAAGATGCTCCCATCCCTGCAGCATGTATGTCCGGGCGCATGTGGTTTAGGCTGAAATCAATCAGTGTATTGCCACCCCCTGGCCATAGTTTAAGAAGGGACAATATGACAAAGGAAATATGTTTTCTGGGAAACAAGCTTTCTTGCTCTTCTAAAAGAGACCCTAGAATAAACTAACTAATTCTTTCTCTCCTTCCCCCGTGTCCCCTCCCAGGCTGGGACAAAGAATCGGAGAGGCCTGGAAGTTGATAGGGATAGGGGTGGGGAAGAGAGCTCTGGCCTGGGGATGAGGCAGACAGTGGATGACAGAATGGAGAAACCAAGTCCGGGAGGGTCTTGTTAAGGCCCTGAATCAAGCCACCCCTCAGCCTGCTCCCCTCGGGACTTTCAATTGTGTCGCTGAGTCCCCTTTATTGTTTCAGTGAATTTGAGTGAGGACGCTTTGAGCCTAGAGCTATCCCGTGGGCAACAAACCGCTTCCCTGCCTCTCACAAATTTATGCTCTTGCTAGTGGGTTTCCAAATCTGATGCAAGGGAATTGCCTGGAGCACTTATGAAGATTGCAAAGTCCGTGAAGATCAAGGAGTCCTGATGGGCACCGCAGGCACTCTGGCGTGTAGGTGGACTGAAGACCACGCTCTGAGACCGCACACTGCTTCCTGAGGGGCTCTTTGCGGTGGGTGCTGCTGCTGGTCCTCAAGTAACACTTCTGCCATTCATTAATTCACACTGTTCTCATCAGGGACATGGGGGTCCTGAATCAAGTACAATAGTCCCCCCTTATCCGTGATTTCACTTTCCACTGTTTCACTTTAAATGGAAAATTCCAGAAATAAACAATTCGTAAGTTTTAAGTTGTGTGCCGCTCTGAGAAGTGCCATGAAATCTCGCACCCTCCCACTCCCTCCTGCCCAGGACGTGAATCGTCCCTTTGTCCAGCATATCCACGCTGTAAATGCTACAGGCCCATTAGTCATTTAGTATCCATCTTGGTTATCAGCATATTGTTACAGTATATTGTTCTATTTTATTATTAGTTATTGTTAATCTCTTACCAGGCCTGATTTATAAGTTAAACTTTATCATAGGTATGTATGTATAGGAAAAAGCATAGTATGAATAGAGTTTGGTACTATCTGTGCTTCCAGGCATCCACTGGAGGTCTTGGAATGTATCCTCTGCAGATTGGGGGGACTACTGTATGTGCGCCTGGGTGTAACCTGGCCGGGGAGAGGTGTGCCCTTACTTATACAAACACTGTGTCCCCATGCTCTGCAAGTGACACAAGAGAAGCCTGCAGTCAAGGAGCTACTGATGGAGCTGAGAAGTCGAGTCATAACCTCATATTTATTGGCATAATCATTATTCATTATTTGTCATTTATTATTTAATGACTATTAAACATTACTTAAGTCACACAAGGCAGCAGTGTATGGGTGACAAATGCATGATCCAGATTCAGTCTGGAGAAGCTCAGAGAATTGGATGAAGGGCTTTATGGAAGCCGGGGTCTGAGTTGAGCAGTAATAATAATAATATTAATAATAGTCTTCATCAACATCATCATTTACATATCCATAGCGTATTTATTTACTTATTTTATTGAGATATAATTCACATACCATAAAATCCTCCAGGAAATTCAGCAATTTTTAGTACATTCACAAGTTTGTGTAACTATTACCACTAATTTTAGAACATTTTTATTACCCCAAAAAGACACTCTGTAATCATTAGCAGCCACTCCCCACCCCCTCACCCGAGCCCCCAGCAACCACTAATCTGCTTTCTATCTATATGGATTTGTCTATTCTGGACATTTCATGTAAATGGAAACACATGATAAGTGACCCTTTGTGGCTGGTTTCTATCACATACTGTAACATTTTCAAGGTTCATCCATGCTGTAACATGTATCAGTATTTCATTCCTTTTTATGGCCAAATAACATTCCATTGTATGGATATACCACGTTTTGTTTATCCAGTATCGGGGGACGGATATTTGGTTGTTTCCACTTTTTGGCTATTATGAATGATGCTACTATTAACATTTGTGTACAAGTTTTTGTGTGAACATATGTTTTCACTTCTCCTGGGTATATACCTAGGAGTGAAATTGCTGGGTCTTATGGTAAAACTCTATGTTTAATCATTTGAGGAATTGCCGGACTGTTTCCACAGTGGCTGCACCATTTTACATTCCCACCAGCAGTGTATGTGGGCTGTACCTGGTATTTTATTAAGTTTGAAATCCCTTTCACACCTATGATCTCACTTAATACTCGCAAGAGTCCTGCAAGGAATTATACTCAGTTTTATAGATAAAGTGATTGTCCTGGTGAGGATTCTTTCACTCGCAAGTAACAGAAACTACACAAACTGACTGAAGCAGAAAAGAGAAGGTACAAGCTTCTGTATCTAGCAAGTGCAAAGGTGATTGCTGCAGGTATGGGTGGATCAAGACTCTCACATGAGACTCTTGTCTTTTTTTTCTCTCTGTCTTCTCTTGTTTCCCTTCACTCTGCTCTCCTTTCCTGAAGCATTTGGGATGTCTCTGCCTGCTAGAAAGATGTAGCCAGCAGTCCCAAGCCTATTCTTTATGGATTCGAAAGGGAGAGAGACAGGCTTCCCTCCAGATCCAGCAGGAAGGTCCAGGGTTTTGGTTCATGCCCACTCCTGAACCAAATAGTGTCTGGAGCATATGGGACTATAATTGGTCTGCTCTGGAGCACATGCCTAGCTCTGAGGAGTTGGGAAGAGAAGGGCATTGTGACTGACAGCCCTACCAAGACCATGTATCATAGGAGAGGAGTTCCCAAAAGCAAATAGAAAAAGGGGATGACAAAGCATACTGGACAGGCAAGATCCACAGTTGCTAAGTCCACTCTATAAACCTAAACTTAAAGCAGCAAGGGATTCACCCAGGGTGCCACAGCACCTGTGCGGCAGAACTGGAATGAGAATCCAGGTGTTCTGACGGGAGATTCCGAACTCATGACCACATCACAGCTGGATGGGGAAGCAGGTGTTTCAGGCCTGGACTGCAATGGCGTGGGGAGCCCAGAGAGTCGTGTATGCGGGTCCTCTGTCTCCCAAGCTTCGAGTCTGAGCTCCCTCTTCCGGGGGCCCCTGAATTCTCTAGGAAGGAAAGGTGGGGAGAGGCCATCACTTCCAAAGGAACCCAGCAGTGGGGAAGGGTGCTGATGATAGAAGCCTGGTTCAGCTAGGACCAGCACACTCTTCTTCCAGAAAAGTACCTGGGGCTCCCGGATCTGCTTCCATTTTGGAGGGCACCTCTCTCTTTCTACCCTTTCTCTGCATTTTCACCTCTGTGACCTGAGGTGATCAACTGCCCTAGGATTGAAGGGTTTCTTGGGTTGTTGGACTTTCAGTGTCAAAACTGGGACAATCCCTGGCCAACTGGGACAAATTGGTCCCCCTAACTCTGTCTGTCTTGGACCCTCTGCCCCATTTTTCTCCAACACTCCTCTCCCTGCACCCGCCCTCAGGTAGCTCCGTCTCTTTTCCCCTCTCTGGTTATTTCTCTCTACCTTCTCTTCTCTGCTCCCCAGCGCCTCCAGTGCAGCCATTCTCCATGTCGACAGGCTGAGGGGTCCACCTGGAGGCATACCCTGGCTCCCGGCTCCTCTCTGCCCCCACAGGCCCCCCTCATGGATCCGGCCTCCCCTTTGTGCCTTGTCTGCTGCTTTGTGCTTAGGAAACGCAACTCTTCTCTTTTTTTAAAGATAAACTTAGGCAAACTTACGGTTACTTGGGAAGGCACATCTGCCAAAAAATGATATAAT